CAGCATTCATGCAGTTAGGTGCAGGGAGGCGAGGTTCGGGTGAAGCAACCAGCCATTGTCTTGTGAAATCAGATCCAGGTGGAGTGAGAGGTAAGACACCTCAAGATGAATGGAGTATCTCACACAGAAGTCCCATAGATCGACTGCCTTCTGACACAGGGCAGAGGATCGGGCCCCTCCTTGCTTGTTGATATAGAACATGGCTGCTGTATTGTCTGCCAGGACTTGAACCACCTTGCCTGAGACCTGGGGAAGGAACATTTCACAAGCCAGGCGCACTGCTCTGAGTTCCCTGACATTTATGTGCAAGGAGAGCTCTTCCCGGGACCAGAGGCCCTGAGCCCTGAGGTTGTTGAGATGGGCTCTACACCCTAGGTTTGACGCATCTGAGACTAAAGACACAGACGGTAGTGGGGCAACGAAGGGCACCTCCATCGTTACCCACCTACCTTGGTTCCTTCCACCAGCCCAGGGAGGCGAGAAGCAGGGGAGGGACTGTAAGTACTGAGTCCAAGTGGTGTCTGCTCAGGGACTATACTGACGCTAGCCCCATCTGGGAGGTGCCTGAGGCGCAGCCTTGCATATTGAACCATGTAAGTACAAGCCGCCATGTGACCCAGTAGCTTCAGCACACTCAAGCTGTCGTGATTGGGTGGGCTATGACCTTAGATACCAGGTTTGTCATGGTCTGGAAGTGGACTGCCAGCAGGAGAGCCCTGGCTTGGGTCGAGTCGAGCATGGTACCAATAAATTCTATTCTCTGAACCGGAACAAGAGTTGATTTCTGCTCATTTATCAGCAGGCCCAGCACCCTGAACGTGATTCGGACCGTGCTGATGCTGTCTTGCACAAGAGCCTGTGACTGACCTTTGATCAGCCAATCATCGAGGAACAGGTAGATCTGAATGCCTCAACATCTGAGGAAGGCTGCTACAACCCCATACACACCGTAAAAACCTTTGGGGCTGCCGATAGGCAGAAGGGTGGTGAATTGGTAGTGGCAATGACCCACTACAACCTGAGAAATCTTGTGGTCACGGAAGGTAGAAATGTGAAAGCATGTGTCCTTTAAGTCAAGGGTGGTATACCAGTCTCCAGAATCCAGGGAGGGAATGATGGAGGCCAGGGAGACCATGCGGAAGCTCAGTTTCTTGAGATTTCTGTTGAGGTGACACAGGTCCAAGATGGGCTGGAGCCCCGCTTTTGCTTTTGGGATTAGGAAATATCAGGAGTAAAACCCCTTCCCTCTCAAGTCTTAAGGAACTTCCCTCCACAGCCCCCATACGTAAAAGGGATTGCATCTCCTGGATAAAGAGTTCCTCGTGAGAAGGGTCCCTGAAGAGGGACAGGAGTGGAGGGTGGGTGAAAGGGAGGGGTGGATAAAAACTGAAGGGTATATCTGATTGTCACTGTACTCAGGACCCATTGGTCCAATGTTATGGATGCCCAAGCTGGGCTGAAGAGCAACAGATGGTCCAAAAATGAAATGGGAGGGGGAGGGGCAGACCTGAAACGGTGACTGGTACAGCACCTTCATGCTCACCTTCAAAAGGCCTGCTTGAGACTGCCAGAGTAACTCTGAGGCTCTGACTGGGAGGCTGAGGTGGATGGGAATGGTTGGCACTGTTTATAACCTCTGCCTTTTCTTTTGTGGGGTGCCTGTCTTGCAGCTCCCGAGAACCGAGGAAGCTGCTGGGGCCTGAAATGTTTTCTGGAGGCAGACGGAACATATAGTCCTGAGGGTCATAGGGTGGACCTTGAGTTCTTCAGTCCATGAAGTCTTGTGTCTGTCTGCTCCGAGAAATGGGAGGAGCCTTCAAATGGGAGGTCCTGGATTAACTGATGGACCTCATGGGGAAGATCAGAAGAGCCAGGAACAGCGCCTCATGGTGACCACGGAGGCCACTGTCCAGACCACCGAGTTGGCAGCATTCAGAACCACCTGGAGAGAGGTCCTGGCCACATTCTTACCCTCTTCTAAGAGGGCCACAAAGCGTCAACTCTTGAGAGCAGGGAGCCTGAACTTATTCAGGGAGATTAAAACTGTATCTCCCCAGCAAAGCTTGCTGATTGGCGATATGCAATTAGAGGCTACCCATGGAATAAACCTTTCTTCCAAAAAGGTCCAGTTTCTTAGCATCTTTTTGTTTCGGGGTAGCACTCAACTAGCCCTGCCTGTCCTTTTCGTTAGCTGCAGATACCACTAGGTACCCCGGGGGAGGGTGCGAGCACAGGTAATCAAACCAGCTTGCTGCCACATAGTACTTTTTCTCTGCCCTCTATGAAGTGGGGGCCAGAGAAGAAGTTTGCCATAGGGCCTTGACTGGTCCCATCACCGCCTCACTGATGGGCAGGACCACTCTGGAGGGAGCTGCTTCAGCCAGGATATCAATAAGGCTGTGTGATGTCTATTTGAGCTCCTCTATCTCCAAAGCCCAGGTTTGAAGCGACCTGCTTCAGAAGGTCCTAATGGGCCCTGAAATCATCCTAGGGAAGTAGGCCGCTGGGACCTGCAACAGCTTTATCTGGGGAGGACGAGAAGGTTTGCACCGAAGGAGGGAATCCTTCCTATGCCTTGACTATGTCCACTAGGGGCATCTCCTGGACTTCGATACCAGACCAGGTACTGGAGTCTGGATCCGGTGCCAAGATGGAGGGAGCGGTAGCCCGTCTCTTGGATACCACCGAGTAGGAGCGGTACTATGGGAAAACCCCAAGGATTCCAGTAGGGCCCGGTACTATGGGAAAACCCCAAGGATTCCAGTAGGGCCCGGTACTATGGGAAAACCCCAAGGATTCCAGTAGGGCCACAGGAGGGAACAGGGTGCGTCAAGCATCTTCCCGGCACCAGCTCCCCTGGTATCATGCAGGGGCAAACCCCACCTGATCCTGGCATCCCACTCCCTGGCAAGGTGCCAGTCCCTGAAATCCCAGCACCGTATGGAATCCCTGGGGTTTTCCCCTAGTACCGGGGCCCCAAGCACGTTAAGCAACTCAAGTGCGGGTCACTCACAATAGGCACAAGGGTTGAAGCCCGGTACTGAAAAGTTCTTTGAGGACAGGAACTGTATACACTAACTATATACACTACCACAACTTGCAAAAACTATATACACTAAACTATTAGGAAGGAAGAGTCCGGAACCACTGGGAAGAAACCTTGTCAGAGCACGAAAGGGTTATACCAGCAACTGTCACAGGTGGCAAGAAGAAACAGAGGGTGTGGGGTCGGTGGCATCCTTTTATACCAGTGCATATGCATACAGCTGCAGCGGGTGCTAGAGTAGGCCTAACAGATACCACTATGGGAAAAATTTCCAGCAACAGTGCTCATGGTGCGCACACACCTAGCATGGAATGGACATGAGCAAGCACTTGAAGAAGAATACCACTATTCTTTGCTCCCTCTGTCTATAACCTATAGGCAGAGTACCAGTCAAAAGGAACAGAGTGGAATTGGTGGTGTCAGACCAACATAATGCAGTCTGACACCACAGGGCTTAGTTGCACCATGGCAGGTTTCAGTCAAGAAAAATGGTGTAAAGTAGGATGTCTTACTAAATGCAGCATAAATGGAAAATATCTAGTGCATGTTACCGCAAACAAATCATATTTAAAGCACACATCTGAAATGCCGTGAGACTGCCTGCCTCATCTCTCAAATCAAGGAATTATTTCAGGCTACAGCTTACAGGAATGTTATCTGATTCCAGGGGTGTACCTAGGGAAAGGCACAGTGGACAGATATGTTAATCTTTTACCTATAGAGACCTGAATTCAATCCATGATGAGCTCACAAGTGGAAGTTAATTTGCTCACATCATTCTAGATCACAAAACCATCACATAATTCTTTACAAAGAGGCACAGTTGACAGCTTCTGCTTGAAAGGCCCAGAACCGAGGAGCAAGGGATGAAGTAGGAGAGGACTGAGACGCACTGATAGTGTTGTGTGGGAAACCTGCAAAGCACCTGCATGCCCTATTGCTTGCTCATTAGTACTGCTCAGTACAGTTTCACTCAAAACAGGCACTAGTGAATTCAAAACGACATCTGTATTTTCTCTGTCCATTAGTTACAGTAGCTATTACACTAGTGCTGCAGTTCTCAAACTTCATTGCACTGCGACCCCCTTCTGACAATAAAAATTACTTCATGACACCCGGAAGGGGGACTGAAGCCTGAGGCTCACTGCCGCAGGTGGGGGGGCCCCAAAGCTGAGCGCCACCGCTCCGGGCAGGGGGGCCAAAGCTGAATCTCAAGGGCTTCAGTCCCAGGCAGTGGGCCTGCACCCTGAGCCCCACCACCCAGGGCTGAAGCCTGAGGCCCCAGCCTCAGGCTTCAGCCCCGGGCCCCAGCAAGTCTCATGCCAGCCGTGGTGATCCCATTTAAAGGGGGTCACAATCCACTTTGGGGTCCCGACCCACAGTTTGAGAACCGTTGCACTAATATAAGAAAATTAAAATACACCAATATCCTTGTGGTTTTTTTTAAAGTTAGCAAGTATGAATTAAGATTGTCCTCAACATTTGTTATAGTATGAGATCAAAACAAGTCTACAAATCAGAACCTGATTCATTGAAAACACTTGTGTTTACCCTTCCTGTAAAATACAATGTCCTTGGCTTCAAAATGTCAAGATCAAAAGCTTGAGTAATATTCACAATATGCCACTGATACCAACCAGGCAATGAACCAACAACATTTCCCTATTAAGGGCCTGATCCAAATCCCATAGAAATCACCAGAAAGCCTCCCCATTGACTTAGATCAGGGGTAGGCAACCTGCGGCACGCAAGCTGATTTTCAGTGGCACTCACACTGCCCGGGGGTCCTGGCCACCGGTCCGGGGGGCTCTGCATTTTAATTTAATTTTAGATGAAGCTTCTTAAACATTTTTAAAACCTTATTTACTTTACATACAATAGTTTAGTTATATATTATAGACTTATAGAAAGAGACCTTCTAAAAACGTTAAGAAGTTAAAATGTATTACTGGCACGCATAACCTTAAATTAGAGTGAATAAATGAAGACTCGGCACACCACTTCTGAAAGGTTGCCGAACCCTGACTTAGATGGACATCAAATCAATCTCTAATTTAGTGTAGTCACATAACTAAAATGACCACAATATACAACTAAACACTATGGTATCTAGTCAAGTTCATTAATCTCCAGTGTTATTATCAAAGGCTAATGAGTTTAATTCCATCATAAAACAGAATATTACATAAGCAAATGACAGAAAAAGTATTTTCTTATTTTCCAACGGAGGCTATGGGCCATATTATATGTTCTCTCAGACTCAGTGCACCTTGGACAGCTGCAGAAATCAACAAGACAGATATTTCATATGACTACATATTTAGTGACATGCCAATAATGAATTGCCACACATGAAGCAGTGCACTTTGTAAGTGATCCATCCCCTGTCATCCATTTCCAGCTTCTGGCAAACAGAGGCTAGGGACATCATCCCTGCCCATCCTGGCTAATAGTCACTGATGGACCTATCCTCCATGAATTTATCCCAGAGGCATTTTTCCCTCTCTCATTTAGGCTTCTTTTAGGAGGGTTGAAAAAGCATAACTTAGGGTACAGCTTCCCTAGCAAAGCAAGTTACATGTAACTTCCTCTTGAAAATAAGAGAGCAAAACTGAGTCAAGTAAGTAAAAGCAGATCTCAGCTGAGCCTCATCTCTGCTCATGCTACATGTTATGTACCCTGCATTACCAGAACCCCAAGAACCTGACAATACTGCTAGACACCTCTGTACTCAAGGTGGAAGTGAAGGGAAGATTGGGAACTTGCCTAGGAAACCATTTAAAAAAAATAGTTCAATGGACTGTATCACATTATTTTTACTAATGCACATAATAAACATTAATTTCTTGATCCTTCATACCTACACATAAAGTTATCACACATTAAGTCATTATAAATATACAAAACAACAGCACATTAATCTCAGTGACAATACATTTTAAAATGTGGTATTAAATGAAAATGACTAAGCAGTCAAGTCAACCTTTAAGCAGTTGAGAACCATGCACAAAGAAACAGTTCAAATACTAAGAGTAGGCTCACAAAACAAAGAAACTTGTTTTTATGTTTATGGAGCTGGTCTTTAAAGTGGTCCCAGAAACAATTCTGAGTGGCTCAAATGAAGCCTGAGGAAGTGTTTCTGTGATCCATCTGCATCCATTGCGTAATCATACAAAGAATAAACTCATTTAAATTTTGCATGTGTCTTGGCATTTTAATCATGTTAACTGAAATGTAGGCATTTCCCCAGTGATCGTCATCATATACACATAATCAACTCTCTCCCATATGATGTAACAGCTGTACATTTCATATGTTGATATATTGACAGAAAACATAGTCCAGTGGTTAAAGCAAGAACTGGGAGTCAGGACACTATTCCCAGCTCTCCACTGACTTGCTGTTGGTTCTTAAGCCACTTAGCTTCTCTCTGCCTCAGTTTACCCATTTTTTAAAAAGGGGTAATAATAATTTCCAGTCTCACAGGGGTATTGTGTTCATAAGTCTCAGACAGAAAGCATTAGTGTAAGTGCAAAGTATTATGTCAGAAACATGGACAAGATGTGCTTTGCACAATACAGGTGGTGATATACAGCCTTATCCAAGATAAACATGTGCAAATCTGAAAGATTAGAATAGTGCCCCAAAAAGGTTGTCTAAGATTCATGAGACATATCAAGTTTTCGATAGCTCTAAATAATGTTGTTTTGCTTCACACTTTCCTACAAACCTGATCTTCCAGGTAATTATAAAGTTACTGTTCTGCCATATTCCGCGTATCATCTCTACTATCAGTTTGTTCTGATGTGCCAAATTCAGAATCTGTGACTGCAGACTTTCTTTGACCTCGAAGCGTGTGTGCATTCAGCATTTCCAGCAGCAAGTCATAGACCGGGACCACATTTTTACACTTCATGCTCAGAAGGTGCTCCATACCTTTGTTACTGTAAATAAAAACAACAAGTCAACACTCAGAAGTGGTTTAAATACATTTAATCCGAGTGGGGTTTTAGGAATGGGAGGCAATGACAAGTTCAGAAGTCAACACCACCCCTCTTTTTTATTCATAGTTTCAAAATTTCTAAGGGTTTAACCATCTTCATCCTCACAATCTCTTAACATAATAGCAAGATTATATCATTTTAACCCCAGTTAAGTTAACAGGCTGCTGTGTATTGTCTCTTTAAAAGAGCAGCCAACTTAATAAGGTTTTGTGAGGGTTACAGTGAGAGTGGCTGAGCGCTGCAGAGAAATGCTTTTGTGGAGAACTTGGGGCTGGAAGGGTTATTGAGGTCCCCCTGCAAAGAGTAACTCGGTGGTGGAAGCCAAGATGAGATCTTCATGCTTGTCTGCTGGCTGTTGGTGCCAGGGCTGTGAGCCACAGCAGCATAGCATTTGAGGTATCCATAGTTGCAAGGCAAGTGTTGACTGAACCCCTTCCTGGCCTGGGTGAACCCCAAAGTATCACACCATGGCAGATGAAAGGCTGAAAACGTTACCTGATTGCTTATGCACCAGGTCCACAGGATGATATCTTCCTGGCACAGAGGAGTAGATGTGGCGCCTCCCTGTTTATCTAAAACGTAGCTGTGGAATTGTTAGTCATTAATCAGATGCTCTTTGCCGGGATGTAAGGAACAAATGTGCACATGCTATTTGGATCACTCTGAGCTCCAATATGTTGATGTGTAATTGAGACTCTTCTTGCAACTACGTGCCCTGAGCTCCAGGTGTGTCCAGATGATCCTTTCCATCCCAAAGTGGAAGCATCCATCACTAGAACCTTGGTATGGAGCAATGGAGAAAAAGGAACACCCTTGCAGACTTGATCTGGGTTCTTCTACCATTTAAGGAAAATAGGGTGTTTGGGGGAATCTGAACCACCACGTCTAGATGATGTTTATTGGGTGGTAAGTACCATCATAATAAACAACAAAAGCAAATTCCAGCAAATTGAGTCACAAATGTGCACAAAGCCATATGCCCTAGCAATTGTACACGTTTTTACTGGTGTCCGAGGGCTTGTCTGTAGTTGATTTATGAGGAGAAATATATTGTCAAATCTGCTCCATGGCAGATATGCCCTCACTGTGGTGGAGTCTATAACTGACTCAAAAAATGGAATTTAAAGAGGATTTGTCTTGGCTGATATCGAGCCCCAAAATAGAGAACTGCTGTAGAATGTGATGTATGCTGTTCGTGATTTGCTGAGGAAAACTTCCCTGAGTCAGCCAGTTGTCAAGGTATAGGTATTCTAAAATGCCCTGCCTTCTTAGGTGTGCTGCTACTACAGCCAGACATTTTATAAATATTCTTGGGGCTTCTGACAATCTGAAAGGCAACCATATGTACTGGCAGTGTGTTTGTCTTCCCACCTACGAACCACAGGTATTTCCTGTGCACTGGATGGATGGAAATATGCATCTTTCAGATACAGAATGGCAAACCAGCCTAGAGGATCCAATTGAAGCCAGGGTCACCAATCTAAGTGTGAACAGGCAAACAAAGGTGTTCAGATCTCTCAAGTCCAGAATGAGATGTCAATTTTGGGAATTAGACAGCAACAGGAACAAAAACTCCTCCCATGAATTGAAGGGGAACATTTCAGAGAAATAGAAGAGATACAAGGAATTGCACCTCTTCATGTAATAGTCTCTCTTGGGAGGAGTCTCTGAAAAGGGAAAGGGAAGGTGGTTGTGGGGTAGGAAGCTCCTGGAACTCAGGGCCGGCACCAAACATATTTGTGGGCCCCCCTGGGGAATGATTGTAAAAGGGGCCGGGGGTAAAAGCACAGTGGGGCAGGAGCTAGGGTTGGTCTCTGGAGCAAGGGAGGGGTCGGGATAAACTGCAAGCGCAGCAGGGCTGGGGAGGGGGTAAACAGAATCCCCCCCTGCCCACCTAAAGCGGGTACCTACCTGGTTCTAGCCCATTCTCTGTCTCTTTCTGCATTGAGCTGCCCCTCCTCCCACAGCATCAGGACAGGTTCTCTTCCAGTCCTCTGGGGTGGGTGTTGGGAGTGGGAGGAGCGGAGGCTAATGTGGTTACTCCTATAACCGGACATTTAGTTTCCAGTCAGCACTGCTAACCGGACACTCAGGTCCCGTTTTCTACTGGAGTTTCCAATATAAACTGGATACCTGGCAACAGGGCTGCCAGAAAAGCCTGAGTGGAGGAGAGGGGCAAGCAATCATTTTTAAAAGTAAGAGGGCTAATCCTTAAGGGAGGGGAGGCAAGTGGTGGGTGGGCTAGGGAATGGAGAGGAGCTAGTGGGCAGGGCCATGTCTGCTGTACTGCCCAGATAGGTTGGAGACCGTGGGGATCAGCTGACAGTATCCCCAGCCCAGGTGACGTGACAACCAGTGGGGGATTTAGAGTTAGTGGGGCCCCCCAGCCCTGTGCTTAGCTTCATTTCTGGGGCTCCTCCTTGGGACCCAGCCAAGAGAAAGAACATTCTCTCATCTCCCCCTGCCCACGTTTTTCATTCTTTTTTTCTTCATCCTCCTCCTATAAGTAATAGCAAGTAAATGAAAATAAAGTGAGGTACCTTGATTGTTCTTGTAGTCTAACTTATTTTTCCACAGACCACCTGAAAATCACGGAGGGTCTCGACGGACCACTTAATGATCTTTCCAAATATTGGGAAAAAAATGTTCGGGTGCGGGGTCTGGCCAGGAGCTAGGGTGAGGGAGGGGGCTCAGGGTTGGGGTAGGAGGTTGGGGTGTGGAGCGCTTACCTGGGGCAGCTCCTGTTTGGTTCTCAGGATGGGGGTGGGGATGTGGGGGGGGTGCAGGAGTCAGGGCAGGGTGTGTGTGAGCGGGGTGCAGGTTTCAGGGCAGAGGCTGGGGGGGCATGAGGTGGGATGCAGGAGTCAGGGCTGGGGAGGTGTGAGGGGAGTGCAGGGGTCAGGACAGGGGGCTGGATGTGTGAGAGGGGGTGCAGGAGTCAGGGTAGGGGGCTCAGGGTATGTGAGGGGAGTGCAGGGGGCTCGGGGTGTGTGAGGGGGTGCAACAGTCAGGGTGGGCAGAGGGCTGTGGGTGTGGGCTGGGGTCATGGGGGTGCTCACGCAGGGGGCTGGAGGGGTATGCCCCAATTCCAGCCCCTTCCCCAAGGCCCCTCACCCCCACCTCTCCTCCTCCTCCCCGGAGCGGCTTGCTGCGGCTTGCTCCTCCTCCTCCCCCCTCCTGCCGGCAAGCAGCTGATCCAGCTGATCGGCGGGGGGGGAGGGGGAAGGAACATAGCACACTGGGGAAAGAGGCGGGGGAGGAGCTTTGCTGCCGGCGGAGGTTGCCAAGGAGGCCCCAGCAGCCGGCAGCTTCAAGCTTCTCTGACCCCACAGGAGAGAGTGGGGGGCGGAGACGAGCAGGCCTGGGCCCCTTTCGACCGTGGGCCTGGCACCAGTGGCGCCATTGTAAATCCGGTATTGCTGGAACTGCATGAAAAAACAGTTACTCACCTTTGTAACTGTTGTTTTTCGAGAGATGTTGCTCATATCCATTCCAATTAAGTGTGCGCGTGCTGCATGCACGGCCGTTGGAAAGTTTTCCCCTAGCAGCATCCATTGGGTCGGTTGTGGAGCCCCCTGGAGTGGCGCCTTCATGGCACTCAAAATATACCCCAGCCAACCCGGCGCCTCCTCAGTTCCTTCTTGCCGGCTACTCTGACAATGACATAGTGCGAGGTGAAGGTATGAACCAAGGACCAAGTCGCTTCCCTGCAGATTTCTTGGATCGGTACCTGGGCTGGGAATGCCGCCGACGAGGCCTGGTTCCTAGTGGAGTGAGCAGTGAGAGCTGGGGTCGGTACACCGGCCAGCTCATAGCAAGCACGGATGCAGGATGTAATCCATGAGGAGATCCTCTGAGAGGAGACCGGGAGACCCTTCATCCCATCCGCCACCGCAACAAAAAGCTGGATCAATTTCCTGAATGCCTGAATGGCTTAGTGCGCTCGATGTAGAAGGCAAGGGCCCTGTGGACACTGAGGGAATGCAGGGGACCAGTGTGAGGTTTAGGGTAAAAAACAGTCAGGAAAATATCCTGGCTAGTATGAAAGGCCGACACTACCTTGGGAAGAAAGGCAAGGTGAGGTCTGAGCTGTACCTTATCCCGTGGAAGACCGTGTAAGGCGGTTCCAAGGTAAGGGCCTTCAGCTCGGAGACGCGCCTTGCCGATGTGATGGTGACAAGGAAAGCCATCTTCCATGAGAGATACAGGAGGAAGCACATGTTCAGCATTTCGAATGGGGGCCCCATGAGCCTTGAAAAGACCAGGTTAAGGTCCCACGAAGGGACGAGCTGCGGAATCTGAGGATAGAGGCAGTCCAAGCCCTTGAGAAAGTGAGCAACCATAGGGTTGGCAAAGACAGAGCAGCCAGACACGCCCAGGTGAAAAGCCGAGATGGCTGTAAGTGAACCTTCACGGAAGACACCGCCAGGCCTTGTTGTTTCAGGTGCACGAGGTACTCCAAAATGAGGGGCACCGGTGCCGGGAGGGGGAGGGTGTGGTGCTGGTCGCAGCAACACGAAAACTGCTTCCACTTCACCGGATACGTGGCTCGAGTGGACGGCTTCCTGCTGCCCAGCAGTACTTGTCGTACAGAGACTGAACACAGAAGCTCCACAGAGTTCAGCCATGCAGCATCCATGCCATGAAGAGGGTGGAGAGACCCCAGATCGGGATGACAGAGGCAACCGTGATCCTGAGTGAGCAGGTCGGCAAGAAGAGGCAACGGGACTGGAACCTCCATGGACAGTGCCAACAGTGTGGTGTACCAATGCTGCCGGGGCCACGCCAGAGCCACCAGAATCACCCTCGCCCCATCTCTGTGGATCTTGAGTAGGCCCTTGTACACAAAGAGAAACGGAGGGAAGACATAAAGCAGGCGACCCGTCCAGGGAAGCAGGAATGCATCTGTGAGGGAGCCCGCGCAGCGACCCTGGAAGGAG